TTTATTTGACAGAGATCACAAGTAGGCAAAGAGGCCGAGAGAGAGAGGAAGGGAAGCAGGCTCACCCCTGAGCAGAGAGCCCGACGCAAGGCTCGATCCCAGGACCCTGAGATCATGACCTGAGCCCAAGGCAGAGGCCTTAACCCACTGAGCCACCCAGGCGCCCCTCCAAAGGTATTTTTATATGTTAAAGTAGACTTACAGGATCCTGGGAAGTTGGGCTAAAATTGAAATTGCCTTTTGTCCTTAGCCAAGTATTAGCATGGAGGCAGCTGAGTTCCTAGAGGAATGTCACTCTGTCTGCGTTAAGGACTTGTCAATGGGCTATAGGTAGTAAGGACATTTTTCTTTTGTCTTTGTTTCCCATGTCAGTATTGACAACTGAGTATCTAGAAATTACATTATCTTACATAATAAATTTAAGATTAAAAAATGAAGGCTTTTATGTACAGTATTTAAAATGATACAAGTAAAATGTTATTTAAAATTTCTGAGAAATTGGGATGTGGGGTCAGGCATTGATTGGCTCTTGTGTATATGATGTAGTTTTGGGATGTGGGTGAGGTCCGAAGCCAAGGGCCAAGAGAATTCTTGAGACATCTTTGATGCAAAAAGGTGATTTTATTAATGAAGTACAGGGCCAGGACCCGTGGGCAGAAAGTGCTCCAGCACTGGGTTTGTGAGGAATGGCTAATTAAATACTTGGGAGTTGGGGGAGGTAAGGAAAGAGAAGTGTCCAAAAGGACTTTGATATGCTAAAAAAGACTCTCAGGGTACTGGAGGCCTGGCTATTGCAAAGCTAAGGTGGTTTTTCCCTCTAGCAAAGCATTAAGATAGTTGGGAGTGTCCCGGACAGATGTTGGGGAGGATGTAGGGAAAGGGGAGCCCTCCTACACTTTTGTTGGGAATACAAGCTGGTGCAGCCACACTGGAAGACAGTATGGAGGTTCCTCAAAAAGTTGAAAATAGAGCTACCCTGTGACCCAGCAATTGTACTACTGGATATTTACCTCAAAAATACAAATGTAGTGATCCGAAGGGTATATGCACCCCAATGTTTATAGCAGCAATGTCCACAATAGCCAAACTATGGAAAGAGCCCAGATGTCCAGCGACAGATGAATGGATAGATAAAATGTGGTATGTGTGTGTGTGTGTGTGTGTGTGTGTGTGTGTGTATTGCAGCCATCAAAAAATGAAATCTTGCCATTTGTAACGACGTGGATGGAACTAGAGGGTGTTATCCTAAGTGAAATAAGTCAGAGAAAGACAATTATCATATGATCTCAGTGATATGAGGAATTTGAGAAACAAGACAGAGGATCATAGGGGAAGGGAGGTAAAAATGAAACAAGATGAAACCAGAGAGGGGGACAAACCATAAGAGAATCTCAGGAAACAAACTGAGGGGTGCTGGAGTGGAGGGGGGTGGGACAGATAGGGTGGCTGGGTGATGGACACTGGGAGGGTATGTGCTATGGTGAGTGCTGTGAATTGTGTAAGAGTGATGAGTGACAGACAGATAATACATTATATGTTAATAAAAAATAAATTAATTAAAAAAATTAATTTTTAAAAAGTTAGTTGGATGTTTCCTAGAGGAATGTTATACTCTGCCTGCCTCAGTATTTGTTTGTCAGTGGGCTTCAGGTTATAAGGAAATTTTATTTTATTTACATTCCCTTTTACCTTTGTTTTCACGTCATTATGGAGGGAAGGGTGATGTTAGGGCTCCAGGCAGTTGAGTCTATGGGTTTCCACAGCTAGGTTAATGATAAGAATGCTTTTCCTTGGGGCGCCTGGTGGCTCAGTGGGTTAAAGCCTCTGCCTTCTGCTCAGGTCATGATCCCAGGGTTCTGGGAGCCCCGCATGGGGCTCTCTGCTCAGCGGGGAGCCTGCTTTCTCCCCCCCCACGCCCCCCTCCATGCCTGCCTCTCTGCCTACTTGTGATCTCTGTCAAATAAGTAAAATCTTTAAAAAAAAAAAAAAAAACTACTTAAAAAAATGCTTTTCCTTGTAAATCACTAAGACATTGGTAAACTGATGGAGACATGTCTTGCAACTATGGTCTCTATTACTGCTTTCAAAAAAAAGATCTAATGTGATGCTTCAGCAATTGGACATCCACAGTGGGGAGGGTGGCCGGGGGGGAGAACTTCAGGTTTCAAATGAAACCTTAAGTTTCACGCCTTACACAAAAATTAACTCAGAATGGATCACAGAGTTAAATGTAAACCTACAAAACTTTTAGAGAAAGCACAGGAGAAAATTTTTAGGATGTAGAGCTAAGTAAAGAGTTCTTGATCTGGCTCCAAAAGCATGATCCATAAAAGCAAACACTGGTAAGTTGGACTTCATTAAAATTAAGAACTTTGTTCTAGGGGCACCTGGGTGGCTCAGTGGGTTAAGCCTCTGCCTTCGGCTCAGGTCATGATCTCGGGGTCGTGGAATCGAGCCCCGCATCAGGCTCTCTGCTCAGCAGGGAGCCTGCTTCCCCCTCTCTCTCTGCCTGCCTCTCTGCCTACTTGTGATCTCTCTGTCAAATAAATAAATAAAACCTTCTAAAAAAAAAAAAAAAGAACTTGGTTCTATTTAAAAGCAAAAACAAAAAACCCTGCCCTGTTAAGAGGATTGACAAGCTATAAACTGGGAGGAAATATTTGTAGGCCAGATACCAATGGATTTGTATCTAGAATACAGGAACAACTCTAAAATATCAACAGAAAAACAATCCAGGGGCGCCTGGGTGGCTCAGTGGGTTAAAGCCTCTGCCTTCGGCTCGGGTCATGATCTCGGGGTCCTGGGATCGAGCCCCGCGTCGGGCTCTCTGCTCGGCAGGGAGCCTGCTTCCTCCTCTCTCTGCCTGCCTCTCTGCCTACTTGTGATCTGTATCTGTCAAGTAAATAAATAAAATCTTTTAAAAAAAAAAACAATCCAATTAGGAAATAGGCAAAAGATAGGATCAGACATTTCAGTGAAGAAGGCATACAGATGGCCAATAAACATAATGAAAATATGTCCAACATAACTAGCCATTAAGGAAGTGCAAATAAAATTTAAACCTTGCTTTGCTGCCCACCACTGTCTGGTCTACCTCTTCATTCTTTGAAGCGGTGTGACCAAGAACCACAGGCGCCAACAGAGAAAAAAACCCTGCAACAACATGACCCTGCAGTTGCACTCTTGGGCATTTATCCCAAAGAAACAAAGATTTATATTTACATAAAAACCCATATACAAATGTTTATAGCAGCTTTCTTCATGATACCCCCAAAGTGGAAACAACCCAAATATCCTTCAATATGTGAATGGTTTTAAAAAGTGGTTTCATTTTATTCACATCTTTTTTGCACACTTTTATTGCAATAAAAAGAAACACTTTTGATACAACCTGCATGAATCTTCAGAGAATTATGCTGAGTAAAAACAGAATCCCAAAAGGTTATGTACTATATGATTCCATTTGTATAACATTCTTGAAAGGACTAAGTTACATAAAGGAGTACAGGTTAGTTGTTGCCTAAGGTTAAGGAAGGGAAGTTAAGTGTGGCTATAAAAGGGATCCTGGAAGCAATGATATGGAAGTGTTCTGTATCTTGACTGTATCAATGTCAGTGTCAGGGATGTAATATTGTACCACACTTTGGCAAGATATTTCCATTGGGAGAAACTGGGTGAAGAGTGCAGAAGATCTCCCTGTATTATTTCTTACAACTGCACACGAATATACAATTATCTCAGAATAGTTTAATTTTAAATACCTAATCTTGCAGCATGGCCTTTCCTTCCCCTCCAGCTTAAAACCCTCCAGTGGTTTCCCATTGTTTTTAAGATAGGAGATCCTAGAAACCTACGCTCTGTCCTCCCAGGCTCCCTCCAGGCTTTCTAGACTCCATCAGACATGAAGAACAAAGGCAAAAGGAAATGTAGATCAAATTAATTTCCTTACAATTTGCTGCCCATTGACAAGCAGAGTAGGACATTCCTCCAGAAACTCCCAATTATCTTTTTTTTTTTTTTTAATTATTTATTTGCGAGAGAGAGCATGAGAGGCGAGGAGGTCAGAGGGAGAAGCAGACTCCCCATGGAGCTGGGAGCCCGATGCAGGACTTGATCCCGGGACTCCGGGATCGTGACCTGAGCTGAAGGCAGTTGTTTAACCACTGAGCCACTCGGGCACCCCAACTCCTAATTATCTTAAAGTTAATACTTTGCTAGAGGAAAAAAGCAACCTTAGCTTGACCATAGCCTGACCTCCAGGATCCTCTAAGTATTCTTTAACATATGAACATCTTTTTGGAAATTTCCTTTGTTTCTACCCCCACTCCAACTTAAAAGTATATAACCAATCCCACTGCAGCTCTTCCTGCCCATGGGTCCTGTCCCCGTGCTTTCATAAAACAATGTTCTGTGCACCCAAGACGTCTCGAGAATTCTTTCTTGACTATTATTAGTTCCAGGACCCCAACATCACATCAGCTCCATACTGGCACTCTTTCAGTTCCCCGACTAGACCTATTATTAAAGAGTTTTTACAAATGCTGTTCCTATCTGAACTGTGCTTCTCTCCAACTCCTACTTGTCAGGCTGAAATCCTTAGGGCAGTCTCCCCTTTGACTTTGACTTGGACTAAGTCAAAATCTATAAGCTCTTCTTGCCCAGTGTTTTCCTCTTTGGTAGTACTTCCATTCACCGCAGCACTTTTGCATTTGTTTGCACAACTACTTAATTAATGTGTTTTCTTTACAGGTAGTTTCACGCGGGAAACTGTACCTGTTAGTTACAATGTTTGCAGTGCAGCTGGCTCCCACCGAGAATGCTCAAGATCAGTACTTAGAAATTGAAGAACTGAAGGAATGCCCACACCCGCCTGGGGCTCTCGGGGCCCGGCGCATCCTGCTGGCGTCGCGCGTGTATTACGTCATTTCCTCCCCGGAAGACACTCTTTCTAGGGGAACCACTCAAATTCCTGTCACTGCTCAGACTCCCTCCGTGGTGGATATGGCTCTGCCGCCCTACTTCGCCCCAGGTCGCGCAGGCCCTCCGCCTCCGCAGCCGCCGCCTCCCGCTCCCTTCGGCTGTCCACCACCGCCGCTGCCCTCCCCGGCTTTCCCGCCGCCTCTTCCCCAACGGCCCGGCCCCTTTCTGGGGGCCTCCGCCCCCTTCCTCCAGCCCCCGCTGGCTCTGCAGCCCCGGGCCCCCGGGGAAGCCTCTCGCGGCGGCGGCGGTAGCGGCGGCGGCGTCTTCTACCCAGTGCCGCCACCGCCGCTGCCTCCGCCGCCGCCCCAATGCCGGCCCTTCCCGGGGACCGACGGTGGCGAGCGGTCGCGGCCGCCGCCGCCAGGCCCGGGGCCGCCCTGGAGCCCGCACTGGCCTGAGGCGCCGCCGCCTTCCGACGTGCTTGGGGATGCGGCCTTGCAGCGTCTGCGCGACCGGCAGTGGCTAGAGGCGGTGTTCGGAACCCCGCGGCGGGCCGGCTGCCCGGTGCCTCCGCGCGCTCCCGCCGGGCCCAGCCTGGGCGAAGTGCGCGCACAGTTGCGCGGGGCTCTGCACCTAGTGCGGCGGCTGCGCGACCTGGGACAGGCCCTGCGCGAGGCCGAGGCCGATGGCGCGGCCTGGGTGCTGCTGCATGCCCAGGCCGCGCCGCTGCGCGCCCAACTCGCCGAAAGACTACAGCTGCTGACCCAGGCCGCCTATGTGGGTGAGGCGCGGCGGAGGTTGGAGAGGGTCCGGCGCCGCCGCCTGCGGCTTCGCGAGAGGGCCCGGGAACGCGAAGCCGAGCGGGAGGCTGAGGCCGCGCGAGCAGTGGAGCGCGAACAGGAGATTGACCTTTGGAGGGTTAAGTGCGTGCAGGAGGTGGAGGAGAAGAAGCGGGTAAGAGCCGCAGCTGCGCGGTGGCTGGGGGTAGTGATGTTTGGAACCTGAAGGGCCGGGAGGCTTTGCGCTGTCGTTTCCGATGTTTAAGCCTCCTTTTCTTCATCCTTAAAATAAAAAGGTAGCCAGGCTTTCCGACCTCCTATCTTCACGTTGATTGCATGTAAATGACATGTAGTACGAAACACAAATGCTCTAGGTGCACTGAGAGTCCTGTAAACAAGGTCTGGGATTACGCAGTGGCGTTGCAGGGATGACAGATGTCCTGTCTCCTGCTACAATGTTCTACTTAACTAATGTTCAAGGCGAACAAAAATCTGGGTTCCTGTTTCTTATATTGGTCTGCTGATTTTAATACAAATATAGAGCACTTGGTGCCTTACCCTAATTGGCTAATGGGGCAGTAGTGATGCCTTTCCCAAGATTCCTTTGTTTAGGAATTTTAAACCACATATCCCCATGTTTAACAGTGGTGTTTTTGAGCACTTACTGCGTACTGGAAACTCTGCTAAAGCCCTTGCATATGCCAGATTTTTAATCCCTGTAACAACCGTGAGAGGTAAACCGTATTCTCGCCATTTTACAGATTAGAAAATTGAGGCATAGAGACACTAACTTGCCAACAATCACACAGCTGGTTTTTAGCAGTTTTACTCCTGATTTGAGCCCATGTTGTCTCCTTTCAAAGCCTGTTAGTCTTCTGTAGGGGCCATGGTGAAATGGAAATTGGTCAGATACTTGTTTAAGGCATTCTCATTACTTCTGGGTGCCTCTAGGTGTTTCCCCCACTCCCTTCACTCTCTACAACCAGCTAGGGTTTCCTCCCTCTTCCTCCTTGTGTCTGTTACTGCCCTAGAATCTGAAATAACTCCCCCCTGAAATATGATGGCGAGCTTTGTCTTCACACCTCCACGAGTATCTGTGTTTTAAAGGAGAATACATGGAAGCAACACCATAATCTAAAGGAGTTTGCATCAGTTCTACAGATGTTTAGTAAGGCCCCATTATGTGCCAGACCTGGTGATGGTGATAGGGGTGAATAGGATATAGTGCTTGTCCTTGAGGGGCTTAGAGCCTCATGGGGACCATGTCTATACAGCATGGTATGTGTTAGGGTTTCACCTGTAGGTGTTGTAGGAACCCAGAGAACGAATATCCAGTTTTGGGGATGGCGTAAGGAAAGACTCTGTAGATGATACTGTGACATCTGAACTGAGTCTTAAAGGAGATGTCAAAGCCAAGTGAGAGCAACAGGTGAAGTTCCAGGTAGAGAAGTTAATAGAAGCAGAAGAGGGGAACAGTATGGTGTGGTTGTAATGGTGAAATTACAGGCATTTATTTGATAGATGGGAAGAGAGCTTTAGGCAAAATGATCTTTCTTACCATCCACACTGAGGGGATTGGAGACCAGGTCCTGTGAGTGGTGGTTTGAGGAACCAGTCATTTTGTCTACATGTGAACCAACTTAAGAAGAGTAGGATAGGGTCTTCAGTGTTTGAAAGGCGCTCATGTCAAAAAATCCTAGGCACTTAAGAACACGAGTACAAGCTATGCATGTTGTGTGTCACTGACAGAATTGTGGAGTCCTGGGCCTTTCTAACCCATTCCTTATCTTCCCACCTGGTCTGAATCTTTGGGTTCAGGAGTCCACATTTTTTTTTTTATACTTTATTTATTTATTTGACAGAGATCACAAGTAGGCAGAGAGGCAGACAGAGAGAGAGGAAGGGAAGCAGGCTCCCCACTGAGCAGAGAGCCCAACGAGGGGCTCGATCCCAGGACCCTGGGATCATGACCCGAGCCTTAGGCAGAGGCTTAACCCACTGAGCCACCCAGGCGCCCCAGGAGTCCACATTTTTAATAAGAGAGCTTCCAACCTAAAGTTGGTGCAGGTGTTCCTTGGACTACATTTGAACAAATTCCAAGGAAGAAACAAAGATCAGAACCCACATGGAAACTGCAGAGAAAATAGTCCCTTGACTGGAACAGTGCAGGAGAGGAATTGTGTCCAGTGTAGGAAATTGGGAGGGAGATCAGTAGAAACTCTTAACTTTGCAACTGTCTGATCTTCAAAAGCTCGCTGCTAGGCAGCTGTTCTCTGCTGTAGGGTTGTTCCAAAAACTAAGTCTGTCTCATGGACTCTTTTTCCAGGAGCAGGAACTTAAAGCTGCTGCTGATGGTGTCTTATCTGAAGTGAGGAAAAAACAAGCAGACACCAAAAGAATGGTGGACATTCTTCGGGCCTTGGAGAAATTGAGGAAACTCAGGAAAGAGGCAGCAGCAAGAAAGGGTAACCGTGGTTTTGGATTTCTACTTGTATTTATTCCTCTGTTGGCCTGCACTGTCTCTTTCTTTACCCTATCGCCCTCCCCCTGCCATTTTTTAAGGAAAAATATTTGATAATTTTTTAATTTTCATCCAATAGAGTAATAAAGCTTGTCAGCAGTACCTCAGAACTTTTGAAGCAGGAAGCCTCAGACTTTGTTTATCCCTTGGTTGCCAAGGTTGAAAAGAGAGACAGGTGTGGGAACCCATACACTGCCTTTCCTTTGACTCATCATTCCTACCCCAGGCATTCCTGGCCACGCTTTTCTGAGTGAGGTTGGCATGGCTGGTCAACTTCGCCCATGTACCAAGGCAAAAGCTATCCTACCTTCACTAGGTTCGTCAGGAGGTTTTGAAAACTTGGCATGCTCCTTCAGATATGTTTCCAACCTGAAACATTGATATTTAAAGAGGTGTGAATGGTTGGACAGGGCAAGGAGTGCCTTGCAGACTGTATGATGTCCTCCACTTGCTTACATGCTTTTGGATCATAAAACCTCAGTCATCTCCTCTTACCTCTAGAGGGAGCACTGGTTTTCTAGAAGATCCCTAGTTGTGCTTTGAACATTTGCCTGTCTTAATCTTTGCTCTTGCCAGTCTATTCATGCGGAGGGCCCTCAGTTCCATCTTTTCCATTTTAAGCTCTCACTGTCCTTCAGAACTAAATACACATGCAACATTCTCCATTCTTCCCTGATTTGAGCTGAGGTGACCTCCTCCTCACTTGCACCTAGCTTGGACCACATGCTACCTTATTTAGTAGGCTGTAGGCCATTGATATTCACCAGAGATATTTGAGAACACATAAATTAGCAAGCACTGTGATAGCAGATGACTTCCCCTGTGTATTTTAAAATATAAATGGAACCTGTGAGTCAGGCCCGTAATAAAGTTTCATTGGGATATGACCATTATGGATTCAGCCAAGCACATTCACTAGCTAAGTGGTTAGCTTCTGCATGCCAGCCTTCAGAGTAACTGATTCAGATTCAGGCCTCAGAAGCAGATGACCCCATAGCACATTCATGAATCAAAGGGGAATTCGCATCTATGGTGTCTACCCTTATCTCTTCCTTGGGGAATGAAAACCCGAGGGCTTTTATTTAATATTCTCCTGCTCCATTCCCTCTGTGAGGTGAGTGGTCAGTAAACTTTTGCCAGGTAAATTTCCTAGCGTAATTTCTCACTATTAGTCTTCCTCACTTTGGTCTAAAAGAAGGGGAGGGAATTTTGGAGGAATTGTGATCTGTTTTAAAAAAAAGCAGCTTCCCTGGAGTTAATGGACTTGAATGTAAAATGATTTGGTAACTAGCTGCTGGTTCCATTATATACTTAAAACTTTTCCTTCAAGGTGTGTGTACCTCCAAGTAAGGGCTCAGAGAATGAGGCTGGGTATGTAAACAGGGCCACCTTGCAAAGTGTCTTAGGGACCAGACTAGACTGCTCACCTATGCTGAAAGCTGAGGGGAGCCATTGAAAATTTTAAGCAGAAAGTGAAATGACAGTGGTGATTAATGCTGGTGGAGCAGAGAAAGTTTTGGAGCATCTAGGATGGAGGGAGAAGAGGAGAGAGACTGAGAAGGCTGTTCAGTGGTCTGACCATGGATAATATGGGAGTGTGAACTAAGGGTCAAATGGTGGGTTGGAGAAAAGTAAATGGGTTTAAGAAATATGAATAAAGGAGAGAGGGAGTGTATAAGTAAATAACTTGGGGAACTCAGCCATGGGAGGAGGAACAGACTTGGGTTTGGCAAGTTCAGTGTGGGACATGGTAAGTTTGAGGTGCCTGTGGTACATCCTGGAGAAGAGGTCATCACCATGTAGCCACAAGTAGGCATGACCTGCAGGAAGTTGTACAGTGCGAGGTGAGGGCCAAAAAGACAAAATCCTAGGGAATGTCGAAATCCAGATGGATAAAGGTGTGGCCACAAGAGAGGTCAGAGATAGGAGAAGGTAGGTCGCCTCCCTCCTGAAAAGTGGCAGATGCCCAGAGAGAATGTGTTACCTTGAGCAGGTTACGCAGACATCTCTTTGCCTTGGTTTCCTCATATGTAAGAAGGAGTAATGATGGTACCTAAAGATTGAGGAAAATCCATGGATATTAATACCCAATAGATGATCAGTGAACTGTGCTGTGCTGGGTGCATTTCAGCAGAACAGTATTGGTAGAAGCCAGACTAGACTAAAGAGGGAATAGAAGGTAAGAAAAGCAAACAGTGAGTTTAACTTATTAAAAAGTTTGCCTGTGAAGAAAGGAGAGAGGAATATCAGTATCTGATAGCGTAGAGGGGTGGGGTGGTAATCTTAGGGTCATGGGGAAAATTTGAACACGTTTCATTGCCGAGCAAAGGAATGAATAGAGGGAGGGGGTCAGAGAGAAGCAGGAGGGATAGTTGATGGCTCAAGGTCCTGCAGGAGGTAGGGAGACTCTGATCCCAGGCAGAGGGATTAACTTAAGTGTAGAAGGAGCCATCTTTTTTAAAAGATTTTATTTATCCATTTATTCGAACAGAGAGAGAAAAGTAAAGTAGGGGGAGCAGCAGAGGGAGAGGGAAAAGCAGGTTCTCCGCTGAGCAGGGAGCCCAACATGGGGCTCCATCCCAGGACCCTGGGATCATGACCTGATCTGAAGGCAGACACTTAACTGACTGAGCCACCCAGGAGCCCTTAGAAGGATCCATCTTCCATTGGAATGAAAATGAAGGAGACAAGGATGAGTAGTCATGCAGATGAGTGAAATGGGGACTGAAAGTTCAGAGATTTCCTTTCTACTAGCCTGTTTTCACTGAGATAGGATAGATGGTTTGCTCAGAGACCGTAGAGAAGGAAGGCTTTAGGAGAGCAGTAAAGGTTTGAAATAACTGCTGTGAAGAATGAGTATAAGCCAACTAGAGACTGCTGGGAGTATGGTTGTAGGGAGGTGCTACAGGCGCAGCTGATGTAGTTGAGTACTGGCGCTGGATCACATAATCAGATGACTTCTCCCAGGAGTGCTCTGTGACTGGCAGGTGAGCACAGGGCTGTTAGGGTTTTGCTTTAAGACTGACCACAAGTGGGGCCCCTGGGTGACTCAGTGGGTTAAAGCCTGTGCCTTCAGCTCAGGTCATGATCCCAGGGTCCTGGGATCGAGCCCTGCATCAGGCTCTCTGCTCAGCAGGGAGCCTGCTTCTCCCACCCCTCTCTCTGCCTGCCTCTCTGCCTACTTGTGATCTCTGTCTGTCAAATAAATAAATAAAATCTTCAAAAAAAAAAAAAAATTGACCACAAGTTTTGGTGAGGATGAGTAGAAGGCAAGGTAGATTTGGATACATTCAGTTGGAGGTTTTAGTGAAGCCGACAGTCTCCAGGGAGGAGGACATAAGTGCACTGAGAGGGTAGAAAGACCTAGTCAGAGAAGAGAAGAATCATGCTTAAGACTTGAGAGGTAGCAGCTTTTTTCTCATCATGCCAAGATTCAAAGACTGGACTAGGCCCTAAGGTGTAGGGGACTGAAGGGAAAAGAAGGCATTGGTATGTAGGTCCTGTAAGAACCAGAGGAGTGAGTGGGAGGGGTGGAGGGAACCTAAACTGTGTTAGTACATGGGGTCAAGAGAAAGAGTGGTTGAGGATTGCCATGTCTCATGCTGATCAGAAGTGATTAATGAAAGGTTGATGGAGGTATGGATTCGTGGTGCAGACCCAGCAACCTGAGATGGGAGCAGGCCACCATTCCTCATGGGGTCTGGGGGCACTTGGGGACTGAGGGAATGTCTATATTTTGGCTGTACTGGCAGATTGTAGTACTGTCTGTCTGGCCCTTTATAGAAAAAGTTTACCAATTCCTGATCTAGGTAAAGAAATTAAACAATCATGAAATTATTATGAAACAGTAGTGACAGCTTGAGCTTCTCAGTGCATAAGAATTTTGTGTGTAGGGGCGCCTGGGTGGCTCAGTGGGTTAAGCCGCTGCCTTCGGCTCAGGTCATGATCTCAGGGTCCTGGGATCGAGTCCCGCATCGGGCTCTCTGCTCAGCGGGGAGCCTGCTTCCCTCTCTCTCTCTCTCTCTCTCTCTCTCTCTTTCTGCCTGCCTCTCTATCTACTTGTGATCTCTCTCTGTCAAATAAATAAATAAAATCTTTAAAAAAAAAAAAAGAATTTTGTGTGTATTTGGAAAATAGTTTACCACTTCATAGAAGATGGATTTGAGATGTAGAGTTTCTATAGTTGGTAATGAGTGATTGGAAACCTGTTCAAGCAAAGCAGTTAGGAGAAAATGACCTGGAGAAATGTTAGCCTTTCAGGTGAGGATAGGAGAATGAATTCCACAACCACTTAGTGGTGATGGTTAAAGGAGAAAACAATCAGACTTTCAAAGGCCTGAATCAGTCAGCTCTTTTAGGAAGCAGTTTAGTACCACATTTAGGTGATCCTGGAAGTACTCATAAACATTTCTTCTCTTGAGGATTTATCCTAGAGAAATAATCTGTAGAAGGAAAAAAGTGACATGTCCCAGAGTATTGATTGTAACAGTATATGATAATAGGACATTTGGAACAGCCTAAGTGTCCAGGAATAGGGAGCTTGTTAAGTAAATTATGGTACATTGATTTGATGAAACAGGATAGAGACATTCAGTAATGATAAAGACTGGAAAAGAAGGTAGAGAATTGAAATGGAGATGTAGAAATTGCACATGCTGTGTTGAACTGTGTGACGTTGCTAATGTACGGATGAGCAAAAATGACTGCAGGCTCAACAGGGGAAATAAAAATTGTTGACTATGTATGTGGTGTGTGAATTTTTATCTTCCTTGAATCTGGCCTTGTTAAGATGCTTCCATAATAAATACATTTGCCTTTAAAATCTTTGTGGATGGCCCATACCCACATCACTCCAGGATGAATCACCAGCAGCTTCTCTGTCTCAGGGCCGGTGGTAGTGAGTGCACAACTGTGACCCACTCAAGTGTTCATTAAACTTTAAAACATTTCCTTAGGAAATTTTAAAGAAGATTTTATTTATTTATTTGAGAGAAAGCACAAGCCAGGGGAGGAGCAGAAAGAGAGGGAGAAGCAGACTCTCTACTAACCAGGGAGAGTAACCTGGGGCTTGATTTCATGACCTTTGCCAAAATCAGGAGTCATTTAAGGATCTGCCATTGGTTCAGGTCACGATCCTGGAGTCCTGGGATTGAGGCCCACATTGGGCTCCCTGCTCAGTGGCAAGTCCGCTGCTCCCTTTAACCCTCACCCCACTCATTTTCTCTCTTCTCTCTCAATAAATAAAAAATCTTTAAAAATTTTTTCACTCGTGCACAAAAACAGAACACTTAAATAAAATACCCATAGTCAACTATAATGCAATTATGACACATAACAAAATTAGTAATAATCCTTTGATATCACCTATTAACTGGTCTGTAATCAAATTTTCCCAGTTGTGGCACTAGCTATGTTGACTGTCCTATTAGCTGACCTCACATTTAAATCAGGGTGACTAACTATCCCAGGTTTCCCAGGATGCTGGGCTTTCAATACTAAAACTGAACAAACTGAAATATTTGGTCATCCTACACTAAGCAGTAGACTGTGAGGTCAGTGTGATTGGTTATGTGTATTTCTTCCTCGTTATCCAAGTGTGTTCTCCCAGAACTTCAGGCTCCGTCAACAGGAGAATTGTTTATTGGTTGGTCTGGGAGCCTGTGCTATGGGAATATCAGAATGAAGAAGTATAAGATATATCCTCTCTCTCTCTCTCTCTCTCTCTCTCTCTCTCTCTTTTTTTTTAAGATTTTATTTATTTATTTGACAGACACAGTGAGAGAGGGTACGCAAGCAGGGGGAATAGGAGAGGGAGAAGCAGGTTTCCCACCGAGCAGGGAGCCCGAGGACCCTGGGATCATGACCTGACCTGAAAGCATCCGCTTAACGACTGAGCCACACAGGCCCTGAGAGATCCTCTCTTTAGTGAGATCATTGCCCAACCAAAGGATCAAAACCATTAGAAATAAATAAAATCAGGTTAAGTGGAATGATCCAGAGAGAGGAGTTAGGGAAAGTCAGCCAGGGTGGGGTCAGACTAATTGGAGACTCAGGATCAAATTGAACCTTGAAGATTGGTTAGAATTTACAGATTCTGAGCAAATTCATAGTGTAAGTAGAGCTTTTTTTTTTAAATTATTAACACATAATGTATTATTTGTTTCAGGGATACAGGTCTGTTGTTCATGATCCTTACACAATTCACAGCACTCACCATAGCACATAGCCTCGCATTGTCTATCACCCAGCCACCCCCTCCACTCCAGCGACCCTCAGTTTGTTTCCTGAGATTAAGAGTCTCTTATGGTTTGTCTACCTCTCTGGTTTCATATTGTTCCATTTTTCCCTCCCTTCCCCTAGGATCCTCGTCTTGTTTCTCAAATTCCTTGTATCCGTGAGATCACACAATAATTGTCTATCTCAGATTGACTTATTTCGCTTAGCATAATGCCCTCTAGTTCCATCAGCATCGTTGCAAATGGCAACCTAAATGGGGCTTTGAGTCTGCTCATTAGAACGCCGATTTTGGGATAAATTTTAGAGATAACTCTCTCTAAAATACCATTCGGATCTCTGCCTAGGTGTCTGTCCCCCAGCCTCAGCAGATGAGACTTTCGAGCATCATCTTCAGCGACTAAGAAAACTAATTAAAAAACGCTCTGAATTGTATGAAGCTGAAGAGAGAGCCCTCAGAGTCATGTTGGAAGGAGAACAAGAGGAAGAGAGGAAAAGAGAACTAGAAAAGAAACAGAGGAAAGAAAAAGAGAAGATTTTACTTCAGAAGCGTGAAATTGAGTCCAAGTTATTTGGGGATCCAGGTAAGTTCCTCTGTAACCAGAGGAGAAAAGGAAAATACTCGATTGGCACCTTTTTTTTTTCCTCATGGATGAACTCAATATAAGCTAAGAACTTGTAGGCAGCAAGTGGCACCTGCAAGATTTGAAATCCTAAACTGTGTACTGGAAATCACGGATAAAGATGAAATATTCGACCACATTGTCATACTGTCATAGTCACAGGCTCAGTCAGCTTGCATGGAGAAATACACTGTGAATATGAAGAATGATGATGCGGTAACGTGCCTTTATTTTGCAGATGAGTTCCCACTCGCTCACCTCTTGCAGCCCTTCCGACAGTATTACCTCCAAGCCGAGCACTCCCTGCCAGCCCTCATCCAGATAAGGTCAGAGGGGCACTCTCCATGTTGCCTTTCCCCTGGGTAGCAAGTAGCCCTTGAGGTGCTTGTGTTGTTGAGGTCTGTTGCTATATCGCTCGCTGGCTTTCTCTTTTTGTTTTAAATTCCTTACGGGTTTATGTAAAGTTTCCAGGTTCTAAGGATGCCACACATGCCTTTAGTCCTCAGTCCTTGAGAAGTAGATCTCTCTGTTTTAACAGGTGAAGAAACTGAACTCAGGTTGTAATTTGCCCAACAAGTATCATCTCATGCTGTAACTGTTGTATTAAAGCATTGGCTTCCTTTTCCCAATTCTCTTCTGCTGCTAGGTAGACCAAGGGTAGGAAACCTTCCCTGCCTACTTACCTGTGGAGACTGTTTAAGTGCCATACCTGCCTGTGAGTTCCACAGGTCAGAGCCAGGAGAGCTAGGAACAAGGAGTCGCATCTTAATCTGCAGTTACAAATGAGCTGGGTCAAGTTTTCAGCGCTCTTGGGTCTCACTTTCCTCACCTACAAAATGCAAATGGTGGACTAGAATGTGGCCTTCAAACTTCAAACAGTAGTGCCCTTCACAGAGACAGTCTTCTGAAAAATCCATTTGTAAAATAGTTGGAATGAGCGGGTTCCTTAGGCAGTTCACATCTGTTATTGACTGGAGGCGCTTTGTTGTTGTCTAGATTCCCCAGAGTGTCTGCTTGGGGCCTCGAAGTCTTGAAAGCCTGGTTTGAAAATCATTGAACTAAGTGATCTCTCAGGTTCCTTCCAGAGCTCTAGTGATGCTTTGGAGTATACCAAGTTGGTGTTCTGGGAAAAGCGTATTTCTGGCTAACATACAAGTTTTAGCTTCTGAACATAAGTATAGTTGATTCTCATTATTCACGGTAGTTATGTTCTGTAAAGCTGCAGGTAGTGAATTAGAGAATACTGGACTGCTACCCCTTGGGAAAATACGGGGTTAGGTTCCTGTCAGCCTGAAGCCACAACCTTTTCCATCAACTGATCAATACATAACATCGTTTTATGTGGATTTCTTTTTAAAAACATGTTATTTAATATATATTGTCAATTCATTAACATTGAACTCCTAGCTAGCAGCATTGTAACTCCTGCCTCAACATAGCTTCTCTAGCACACATGTATTCTCCGTAAGGCATACCCCAGCATTCTCACGCTAGCTAGCACTGTAGCAGTGTACCTGGGGGCCATCTTAAATAGCAAAGGCACCAGTAAAAGCACAAATATGTGGAAAATGTGGTACTAAAGAGACTGCAGAAAGGACACTTTTTTTACAGTGTGAGGTTGAAAACAGGAAGACGGCGTCACCTTACTCAACTTCAGTTGGGAATGTGCCTGTCAGGGACTCAGATTTTTCACTGTTCTGTTCATGTTGGCAAGTGACCACAAATAATGATTGTGTGGTTGCAAATGAATTTTTGTGAATGGGCAAATTTGCAGATACGGAACCTGCAAATAATGAGGATCAACTGTATATTCATTATTTGGTTATCTATAAGATTGTAAGTTCTTTGCAGTTTTTTATCCTTTATATGTACATTTAAGAAATACGATCTTGGGATGCCTGGGTGGCTCAGTTGGTTGAGCAGCTGCCTTCGGCTCAGGTCATGATCCCAGCGTCCTGGGATCGAGTCCCACATCGGGCTCCTTGCTCATCAGGGAGCCTGCTTCTCCCTCTGCCTCTGCCTGCCATTCTGTCTGCCTGTGCTTGCTCTCTCTCCCTCTCTCTCTCTCTGACAAATAAATAAATAAAATCTTTAAAAAAAAAAAAAAGAAATACGATCTTTTGCATAATGCCTAGAAATCAAGTTCTTTAGCAGACTAGTACATCAGTCATTTGAAAGCTAAGTCCTGAAATAGAGTATTTAGTTGCTGAACGTGTTGCTTGGAATAAAACAGAAATAAACTGTTGTTCTACAATGTTCTTATTAAGGCATGATTGGGATCAGTACCTGGTGCCATCTGATCATCCCAAAGGCAACTCCGTTCCCCAAGGATGGGTCCTTCCCCCGCTCCCCAGCAACGACATCTGGGCAACGGCCATTAAGCTGCATTAGTAAAGATGCTCCAGGATTGTGGTCCAGCTATGGCTCTTTCCAGCTCTAAAAACAAGTGATGCCACCATCTTCTTGTGCTGTAGACTAAACCACAACCTCCAGACTCCATATGGCATTGCCCTACCCAGAAGTTACGTTTTCCTTGCGTGCTCTGTCTTGGCCAGGGATGCCTCTTGAATCAGGAGATTAATATGGTTCTTCAGGAAGGGACCTAGGTGAACTGGGGTTATTACAACAGGCAGTGGCCTTGGTTCACCAAATTTGCCTCTGTTTTGAAGGGGCTTGGTCCAGAGTGACTTGTTCATTTACTCTCAACGGCCTTGTGTGTGATGGGTAAGTATGCTCAACACAGGCGTGCACTGGGTAGACCTAGCAGCCTTTCCGCCGGTACTGAGTGTGAAGGCAGGCTTGATGCAAAACCTCCGTAATCTCCCTACCCAGAGAACTCTCTGACTTCTAGGAGGAAAGGTCAGAAATGCCTTATCTTTGGTTTGTGACTCTTGAGAGGCTGCAGGCTGCAGGCGAGGCTGCCAGAAAAGCTTGGTGGAATCGTCTGGTGGTCCTGTGGAGAACTTGGAAAACCTCTACCCATATCGAATTGTGTTTTAATGGATAACGGCTGCATTTTCCTGTGTTAGAAGGATCCTAACAAAAACACCTGGTTTTTAAGTTCCCAGAGGTCTAGAGGTTCGGTATCCCCAATGATAGACATTTATTTCCCTATGGGACTGGGACCATAACCTCACTCAGTCACATTATAGGGGGGGTATAGCTGTGGAGTTTTCTAGAAACTCAAGCTTCCAGAAGCACCCATGTAGTTAAAGCTGGGAGGAAAACAGATAAAAATCAAATTAATTTTATGATATTCATTAATAAATACTGTTGTGCCTGGAAATGATCTATCATATAACATGTCAAGGGTTTGTTTTATTTCATTTTGCTCTTTGTCATCTATTGTGTTATTTATATTTCCAAAAAGCTGAATAAATACCATTTTTATTTTTTAGCTTGAGCCTTTGCCCCCAGATTTGTTGCCTACCAAATCACTGCACACACTTTCGCATTGACAAAACACATTCTCACCCCAAAATGCAAATTTGTGAAATAGACATTTGCTATAAGGAGGTGAACCTCAAGCATCAAACTTAGTGGAATCCAACTCAGGGTAAGCAGGAAAGGACACCAGCTTAGGAAATGATTTCGTGTAGTTGGAAGCTCTGGAGTGCAAGATGCTGACACCTTTGTTTGTTTTGGTTAAATCTGCACTGTTAAATTTATATATTTTGCATTTCAGAGTTAACGGATAGGATATGAGGGCCAGCCAAGTGTATGCCTAAGCTCATAAACCTTAAAATCTAATGCGATTAGCCTCACATAACCCCATAGGCCTGTGTGTCCTTTTGCTCTCTGATGAGATGCAGAAAGAGTAGAAATAAAAGATGAATTGTATGATGTGTTCAGTGTCCAGGCAGCCTTGTCACTAAAACATCTCCATTGAGAGGCGCACAAGCGTGAGACAGAGATTCAGCAGAACCCAAGGGGCATTTAACACCAGGTGGAAAAAACTATTCCCTCCTTCCTCGTTCAGCTTCCTCAAAGTTTTAATAAAGTAAACGTTATTTCTGTCTTTTGGTTGGTTTTGTTTTGTAAGTTCTTCCTGGCTTATCGCCTTGTGTGGTGTCAGTGGCTGCAGCCTCTCGTTCTAAATGGGTTTAGAAAGAAAGATAATAGTGTCTTTAACGAATTATACTTCTGAAAATATGGACAGCGTCATGGTAATCTTTAACCACAGTGTTTTTTAATTTATCGTGGAAAATTTCCAACATTCTGTAGTAAAGAGAATAGTATTATTTTTTCTATATACCCCTCATATGGCTTCAAATACCTTCCAACTTGTAGCCAATCTTGTTTTATCTATATCCCCACCACTCTGGATTATTTTGAAGCAAATCACAGACATAGTCATAAGTATTTAGTATGTGTAGCTCTAAAACATATTTTTACTGTTGGGGTCCATGATCAAAGGAATGAGACTGATACAAAGCGAGGGTCAAGCAAAGCTTTATTTCGCGCCAAGCATCAAGGATCAAACTGACCGGTCAGGGCTGTCTCTTACGAAAAGGTGACGACGACCCCGGCAAGGCTGCTCCCAATGTGGCCACTCTGGACGAGGCTGCTCACCTGGACAGGGGCTACTCTGGTGAGGCCGCGGCTCGGGGCTGCGGGGCCACTGGCGGCTCTGACAGCTCTCCTACTCTTCCGAGGACTCTTCTACTCCTCCTCAGCCTCAGCCTCGCAGACTAACCTTTATAGGGGTGGTTGAGCCCCGCCCACACACAGGTGGCCAATGGGATTTAAACTCACCTCAGTAAATATATGCACGCCCCTCTGATTGGATGTCTTCACCTGGCCTGACTCGCCCTTGTATCTAGGCTTTGCAAGTAAGTTCCTCTGGGAGGGGCAGGGTCAATCTAAGTTCACTGCATAGGGTCAATCTAAGTTCACTGCAACAAAATGGCTCCCTCTGGCCAATCAGGCCCTTACATTTACAACTTAACCATAGTGCCATTATTGCACTAGAAGAAATGAATGACTCCTTAATATCATCAAATACCCAGTCAGTATTCAGATCTCCTTATCTCATGTGTTTTACATTTTGTTCAAATTAAGATCTAAGTGCAATCCATATGTTGTTAGTGGTTGATGTCTCCTAAGTTTCTGATAATCCGTAGATCTGTCTTTCTTCCTGTGTATTCTTATACTCTCTGTCTCTCCCTTGCAATTTATTTTTATTTTTTTTAAAGATTTTATTTATTTACTTGACAGAGATCACAAGTAGGCAGAGAGGCAGGCAGAGAGAGAGGGGGGCAGGAAGCAGGCTCCCCGCCAAGCAGAGAGCCTGATGAGGGGCTCGATCCCAGGACCCTGAGACCATGACCCGAGCTGAAGCAGAGGCTTTAACTCACTGATCCACCCAGGCGCCCCATCCCTTGCAATTACTTGAAGAAATTGGGTCATTTTTTTCCTGAAGAGTTTCCAGTCAGATTTTTCCTAATTGCATTCTTGTGACAGCATGTTCCTCTGTTTCCATATTTCCTATAATTTAGTGGTGAGAGATGTCCTGTCCAATAGGGTAGACATGTATGGCTATTGGGCACTTGAAATTGAGAGTTTGAATTGAAAGCTTGAATTGTGATGTACAGTTACATACATGGATGACATATTTGTACTGGAAAGCACTGTTCAAGAGTGTACACATTTCTTGACCACATGTAGATTGGAATTTTCTGAAAAGAACATTTTCCAGGGCCTATGAAATACCTTTTTAAAAAAACATTTATTTATTTGACGGACAGAGATCACAAGTAAGCAGAGAGGCAGGCAGAGAGCAAGGAAGGGAAGCAGGCTCCCCGCTGAGCAGAGAGCCCGATGTGGGGCTTGATCCCAGGACCCTGGGATCATGACCTGAGCTGAAGGCAGAGGCTTTAACCCACTGAGCCACCAGGTGCCCTGAAATACTTTTTTTTAAAGATCTTATTTATTTGTCAGAGAGCACAGCAGGAGGAGCTGCAGGCAGAGGGAGAAGCAGGCTTACGGCTGAGCAAGGAGCCTCACGTGGGGCTCTGTCCCAGGACCATGACCTGAGCCAAAGGCAGATGCTTCACTGGCTGAGCCACCCAGACTCCCCTGCTGGAATACTTCTAAAAAAAAGAAACATCCCCTCATCAACTATTCGGTTACCGTAACCATTCGGTTACCGTAGGATACAATCTGTATAGGAAAGGCAAATAAGTACTTTTTTTTTTTTTAAACTAATTTTCAAAGTAACAAGCTGGTCCCCTAGCATTGTTCAAAGGTGACCAGTGAATTTTAAGTATTATAAACTCAGATCTAAACATAATTTGTCTTCCAACCCATTTTTACTATTTTCTTCATTAATTGCCTCACCTTTGGTCAGTGGCAGCCCTTTTAACTCAGTTCCTAAATTCCCACTCAATTCCAGTGTTCTGTTCCCAGTCTGTCTTGTGCATTTCCTTTCCCAAACCAGGAAGCAGTCATTTCTCTAGTGATCCCTGGTTCCTGTTAAGTGGAAAAGGTACTTGTACGCCACATTCTTGCTGATTCTTGTTAGTTGGTTTTTATGCTTATCAGTCAGAACTAGGAATTACAGTCCTGTTGGGCTGGCAGACTTTTTCTAAATCCTGCCTCTTTTTTATACCTATATTCTTTTTATATTGAACATAAATTAATGAAATAGAACATAAATTAATGAAAATAGAGAAATAAACTCATTCAAAGATTAACAAGGAATGTGTTGATTCATCATGTCCTGTATATAAGAATATTTTGTCTTCTTTCCCGGTAGAGGAGACCCCGAATTTGTGAGATACTCTTAACAAAAACCATTTGTTTTTAAGAAATAGAAGGAACATTAGGGGTACCTGGGAGGCTCAGTGGGTTAAACCTGAGCCTTTGGCTCAGGTCATGATCTCAGGGTTCTGGGATCAAGCCCCACATCGGCCTCTCTGCTCAGCAGGGAGCCTGCTTCCCCCTCTCTCTCTGCCTGCCTCTCTGCCTACTTGTGATCTCTCTCTGTCAAATAAATAAATAAAGTCTTTTAAAAAAAAATACAAGGAACATTAGAAAACAAAGAGATTAGTTATATGTTAAATACTAAGAGTGTTCGGCCCTAATGGCTGAGTTTATGACGTCAAAGGATTTGCTACAAGCCAACGGATGTAATCACTAAACCCATTCATGTTCCTGTGTCCATGTGACTTGTGCAAGGGTGTATCAAGAAGCTTAGCTGGGATTACATCCTCTGTTGTAGCAGTTCACTTCTACATGTTTTATCCACAGGGAGGTTATCCTGGGAATCACAAGGTAAGTACAAAGTATGTCTTCTTCCATTCAAATAATAACATAGAATATATAGAAGGAATGTGAGTGCTACGAAGTACTAGCAGTGATATATTTTAGGGACTAGAGATTACATGAGGCATTTCCAACTAAATCTTTTTTTCTTTTAACGCTACAACCAATAAACTATTCCTGTATAATGTTAACTTTTTTTTTCTAATACTTATTTGACAGAGACAGCGAGAGAGGGAACACGAGCATGGGGAGTGGGAGAGAGAGAAGTAGGCTTCCCGATGAGCAGGGAGCCTGATGCAGGGCTCAATCTCAGGACCCTGGGATCATGACCCAAGCCCAAGGAATAGTGATTACTCAAATAATAAACTTTAAAAAAAAAAGTTAACAGTTAAGGGGCACCTGGGTGGCTCAGTGGTTATGCGTCTGCCTTGGGGCTCAAACTGGGGCTCTAACTCATGCCCCTGGACCAACAAGAGCCACGTGCTCTTCTGAGCCATACAGATACCCCTAACTATTAACTTTTGGGTATGCCCATTCAGTAGTTCCTGACTTAGCACATCTGGCTACCTATGAAGAATCTGTTTCCAATGTAGGTTACATTGGCCTGTTGGAATAAACTGAGTTTCTCATAGTCTCTGAAGCAAGGATCCGTTTCTAAGGCAGTTGGTGCTAGAGTGCGTTAACTTTGCAGAGCAGTAGGCTCCTCTCAGCTCAGTGCTTGCCAGAATATGGATACCAGGTCTTGAACTGTGTACTTGGGAAACCGTTTTTACCGTTTGCCAGGAACGACATTAAATGCTGAAGACAAAAAAGAGCAAAAAGACAGAATTCCTGCTCTCTTGGAGTTAGAATCTAGAGTAGAGAAGCTTAACTATAGAGATGATTAGTTATAATTGTGATACGTACTACAAAGAAAAAAGTGGTTAGTCATTATTTCTATTTTCCATTGTTCAAATATATATTAAGGCTGTTAAGGCTCAGATTAATTTGCTAAATACGAGGGCTATAATGGTGAGCAAAATACCAAGACCCCATACAGGTTTTGAGGGGGATAGATTAATATCCAGTTAATTGATCCAACTATCATAAAAAATGTGCTGAGTGCTTTGAAGGAAAGGTATGGTCCTGTAAGAGTAGCCCCTTGCCCACCGTTTTTTTCATATTGAGTTTTGTAATGCATTTAGGTAAAATAGAAAATATATAGTAGCGATAGGAATTGTTACTCAGTTTACATATGTCTATGCTGGGTCACAAAACCAAATGTATTTCATACTATGGGTCACAATAAAAAAGAAATCTTAAAAGCCACTGTACTGGGTAGATCCTATCCAAGTTTGGGGATTGGATCAGGAAAAGCTTTTGAGGAAATGATGTTTCAGCTGAACTATGAAGAATGAACAGCTATAATCTAGTACAGAGGAGACAAGAAGAAGACAGAAATTTGGAATAGCATATGCAAAAGGCCTGTGTTGGGCCAAGAGACCAAAACAATTGAAGACTAGCATAGCAAGAGTAAGGAGGGGAGGTAGTAGCGGCCAGACACTGCAGGGCTTTGGAAGCCCTTATCAGGAGTTTGGGTTTTATTCTGAGAGCAGCTGGGAACTTTTAATCAGGAAATTGGCTTAGTGTTCTGTTTTGAAATGATCGCTTTTGTCCCAGTATATGAAACAGACTTATAATATTAGGGCATAAGAGGATACATGGACACTGGTTAACCAAGTGAGAGATAATGGGGGCTTGGACTCCCTTGTTAGCAGTGGAGATAGCATGAAATGGTTGGATTCCAGAGATTTAAGAGAGAAACATGACAGGGAATTGAGATGGGCTGTGGTGAAGAAGAAAGTGTCGGGCATGAGTTCTCAGTTTGTATACCTTCGACATCCCTTGAGACAAGGAATCCTGGAGGAGGAGGAACAGTTTGGGGGAGGGGGAAATCAGGAGTTCGCTTTGGATATGTAGAGTCTGAGGCATCCTTGAGGACAGTCTTGGAAGAGATGCCTTGTAGGCAGTTATTATGAGTTCGATCTCGGAGAACAACTGGAGAATCTAATATGTGAGTCATCGGCACATAGGTTATTGACACTATGGACAAGGATGAAGTCATTTAGAGAGTACACTGGAGATCTTTAAAAATTAGTACCAATATCAGTGCCTGGGCTCCACGTAGACCAGTTACCACAACCTCCACTTGCCTGCCTCTCGCCTCTAGACTCTGACTCAGCCCAATGAGCACAGACCCACGGAGGGGTCCTGGATTATGCAGCCTGCTGAAGCATGCACAGACTGGCTTTGCCAGCATCCCTGCTCCCCTACCCTCAGCCCACACCTTTAGATCCTTCAGGGCTTTCTCCACTGCCTACTGAATGGAGTCAGTATTCAGGGCCCTTCCCAGCTCTACCCCAGTCTTCAGTGACTGCACGCTCCTTCCAAGCAAAACTATCTACTTGAGTCACACAGGTGGTCTCCCCCTCACTCTGCCCTGCCTCTGTTCCCTGTCTCAAGCTGGAGTTACCCTCTCCACTCTACCTTTTCCTGCTCACAGGCCGTTCCCCTACCCTGAAGGTCCATCCTTGCTGAAGCTCCCTCGACTCCGATAAGGCCTAGAATACTTTCTTTCCTTTGAAGACTATCATCACTTCATGATCTGTACCTCTCATTTTCTGTTTAGCAGAGATGACTGTCAAACTGAGAATGCCAAAACTTGCTAACTTTCCTATGTCTCCTACAACTCCCTATCCTTAGAGGTCTCCTGTTGGAACAGGCTGATGGGGCAGATAACTTACTGACCACTCTGCGACTTGTCTGATCCTGTAGCATAAAGAACCGCTCCTAGTGTGCTGGGAAACTGTCTCCTGGCATGGGGTGGAGAAGCGTGTTGAGGCTTAACATACGGTAAGACCCAGACAGGAGTGGGCAGACAGCGGAGATGAGGGAATTAAAGTATTTGCCCATCTGGCCTCATTTGACCTCTCTGCACTCAGATTACTTACTCTGCCTCCTCACATGATGTTCCCCTGTGGGCATGGGGATGACCCAGTGACCCCTCGCAACAGGGCTTTGCAACGTCCTGGTAGGGATGACATTGTGTTAAGCCAGAGATACTCCCTGGTGTGGCTCCCTGATAAGCCCTGATTGTTTGCAAAATGCCAGACTGTGGTCAGAATCTTTATTTAATCTGGTTTAGAATACATTACAAATCCCTGGTGGTTGTGAACATTATTAAACTAGCAGACACATAACTTGATCTTAGACTAAAGGCCCAGAGTCTATGTGTGAATGAATTTTTAATTCTTAGATTTCAGCTTTAGTAGTAGATACTGTTGACTAATGCTAATTGACTTTCTCACCAACAGTGCAGGAGAATTCCAGATGTCCACTTCCTCATCAACCCTTGATATTGTCAGGCTTTTTTTTTTTTTTTTTAATTTTAATCATATACGTGTGTGTGTGTGTGTGTGTGTGTGTGTGTGTTGGTATCTCATTGTTTTGTTTTGCATTTCCCCAATGACTAATGATGTTAAACGACTTTGAGGTTTATTTGGATGTCTTCTTTCATGATGTGCCTCTTAACATCTCTTGCCTATTTTTGTACTAGGTCTTTTTTTTTTTCTTTATTGCTTTGTGTATATCAGGTATGAATCCTTGGTCAGACATACATGCTGCAAATATCTCTTCCCATTCTGATTTATGTCTTTTGTTGTTTGTTTGCGTGTCTTTGTTTTTGTTTCTGTTTTGTTTCATTGTTTTTTTTACTCTCTTACTGACATCTTCTGATGAGTGGAAGTTCTTTAATGTAACACAATTTGTCAGTGTTTTGCTTCATGGTTGTCTTTTCTGCAACCTGCCTAAGAAATGTTTACCTATTCTAAAGCCATGAATATATTCCCCTCTCTTATCTTCAAGCTTTATTTTACCTTTCACATTTAGATCTACAGTCTACCCAGAACTGATTTGTGTACATGATGTGAAGTACAGGTCATGATTTTTTTTTTCTAGGTGGATATCCAGTGTGCCATTTACTGAAAAGACATTTATTTTTCTTATGTTCTGCAGGACCAATTTTGTCACAAGTTAAGGATCTGTATATGTATGGATCTGTTTCTGGACTTTCTTTTCTGTTTTACTGGACTTTTTGTAAGTCCTCGTATTAGTACCACACTGACTTAATCCCTCTAACTTTAAAGTAAGTGTTGCTATATGATAGTATAAATCTTCCAATTGTGTTGCTTCTTCTTCAAGATTGTCTTGGCTTTTCTTGGTCCTTTGCATTTCATTTAAATTTTAGAGTTAGTTTGCCAATTAACCCGAAAAAACATGATGGAATTTTGATACACGGAATCTATAAATCAATTCAGGGAGAATTGCTGTCTTTGTTATATTGAGTCTTAATAACCCATGAACATGGCATGTTCCTCCATTAAATATCATATTTTATAGTTTTCTGTGTAGAGGTTTTATATATCTTATGTTAGGTCGTGTCCTAGGTGGTTAATAATATGAAATGGTATCTTATTTAAAATTTCATTCTCTAATGACATTTTTAAAAGTTTTTTTTTTAATTTATTTATTTGACAGAGAGCGAGAGAGCACAAGCAGGCAGAGCAGCAGAGAGAGAAGGAGAAGCAGGCTCCCCACTGAACAGAGAGCCCGACGTGGGTCCCGATCCCCGGACTTGGGATCATGACCCAAGTCAAAGGCAGTTGCTTAACCAACTGAGCCAACAAGGCGCCCCCTCTAATGACATTTTTAAAAGATAACATTTACATACTTTGTATATATAGTTGGTTCTCATATATTGATCTTGTAATCCAAGGACGTTGCTAAATCCACTTATTCATAGATTCCTTTGAATTTTCTACATATGCCATCCACAGATAATGGTAGTTTTATTTCTTTCCAGTCCTTGTTTCTTTTCCTTCTCCTTTTGCACAGGCTAGTACCTCCAGTGCAATGTTGAACAGAAGAGATGGTGGGGACATTCTTGTCTCAATTCCAATCTTGGGGATATCTTTCAGTATTTCACCATTAAGTGGGATGTTTGCTTTAGATATTTTGGTAATATTCTTGATTAAGTTAAGGAGAGTCCTTTCTCTTCCTAAGTTGCTGATTTTTTTTTTCTTCTTAAAATCATGAACAGGCATTGGTTTTATGAAGTGCTTTTTCTGCCTCTACAAAGATAATCATATATTTTTTCATCTTTATTGACATTTATCTTTATTCCCACTGATTGATTTTAGAATATTAAGCCAGTCTCTCATTCCTGAAATAGACTCAACCCTCAAGCTGGCAGTGTTGTATTTTCCTATCCATAATTATTTTTGTTGAGATTTTTGCAGTTATGTTCCTGAGAGATTGGCCTTTAATTTTATCAGATTTGGTATCAAGGTGGTGCTGAAATCAAAATGAGTCAGGAAATATTTCTTTTCTGGAAGAGTTTGTGTAATTTGACATTTTTTTCCTTATATGTTTGGCTGGGAACTCCTTTGATGACACACTTTAGAACCAGTTTCAAAAAAAAAAAAAAAAAAAAAAAGAACCAGTTTCGTAGGCCACATTTTGGGAAACAATGGTCTAGAACAAAACTTAAGCATGAAATAGTCAATTTCTGTCAGTTTGAATGCTCTCACTTTTATTTATTTCCTCCCTGTGCAGCACCAGCCACTTTACCTTTTCTTTCCCGGCTGTGTGGGGCTCAGCTAAGTCAGCACTCAAGAGAGTGGTGAGGTCATCTGAGACCAAGCCTGGTCCTCAGGACTGAGCTCTCTCCCTGCTACCAGGCAGCCTGCCCCAGTCCTGCTCAGCCATCGCCACACTCCTCTGACAGAATGAATGCCCTTGACGGCGTCCCCTTCAAGGTGCCCAATGGCTTTGTGATAGGCACAAAGTCCCTTCCTGGGCCAGAGCTCAGCATCCCAGCCTGCAGGGAGCTTCTGCTGGGTTCTATGGTAAGTGTATCTGTCTGTCCATTTATCTCTTGTCTCTGCTCCTCTAGATCTGATGCTGAGACTCATGGGCCTTGTTTCTTGATTTTAAAGGGCAGCAAGGCCAGGGAACCTGGGTGGCTCAGTCAGTTAAGTCTCCGACTCTTGATCTCAGCTCAGGTCTTGATCTCAGGGGTGTGAGTTCAAGTCCCTCGTTGGGCTTCACACTAGGTGTGGAGCCTACATACATACATACATGGCAGCAAGTCCATCTCTGGTATGTTCTAGACAGTTTGGGAAAAATCCAAGGGGAAAAGGCGTTTCACGAAGAAAGCTAGTGGCCTGATGACAGGGATTATTTGCTGGGTTTTATTTGAAGCTTAGAATAACAGGAAGCTGCCAATAGGAAGTGACTGAGAGTCATTGCAAAGATTCTCCAATTCCTCTTTTCCCTGTTGGCCTGCTGCCATGGTCAAAATTCTACCATTTAGAATCACTCCTGTGAACTAAGACACTATCTCCAGAATCCTCTGTTAAAATGCAGACAGTTACATGGGACACATTAGAAGGGGTTACTATTCCATAGACTCAAAACACCTCTCCCCTGGAGGTGCCCTGGAAAGCCCCCACGCCCCACAGCTCACACAGGGGGATATGCACCCAGTGTATGCGGTGGTATCGCACACCCTCAAGAGAAACATGATCATCTAACTTCCAGGAGTCCCATTTACTTGAAGGTTTAGGGGGAAACCTATTGCATCTGTATTATAACACAGATCATGAGAGAAGACGCAGAATTCACATGAATTTTTACAAACAGAAGAACGAGATTGCCAAAAACTGTGAAACTGGTGTTGGGCCTCTCAGAGTCTTGTGTGCCTTGTGTGCCTTCTTCACTGTCTGCAGGGTACTTGGTAAAAAACTCTGAGGCTCTAGGGCGGCTCTCACTCATTTTGCACATGAGGAAACTGAAGTCCAGAGAAGGGAAGTCATTTGTCCAAAGTTAGTGGTGATGGCAAGACTAACACCCAGGTGTCATCTCCAAATCATTGTATATTCGCTCAGAGCAGGATCGGAGCATGAGACACTGGACGGGTGATGTTCTGAGGCAGAAAACCGGGTTGTAGGAAGTCAGATGCAGAAAGTACCAACCACGAAAGAGGAAGGGGCTTGAGTGGCTCGGGGGCCCAGGAGCAGGAGACTCGGTGCCATTTTGCTTTATCGGCAGACCCTTAGGACCAAGGTGTCCAGAAGGGAAATACACTCTGTAAAACCCAGAGAGCCCAGTGTCCACGGGCCAATAGTTTGTGGGGCGGGAGCTCTGACTTTTCCCAGGCAGCCTGCGCTGTGGGCCTGTGTCATCGGGAAGAGGAATTCGCTTGATGAAGCTCCAGCCAAGGTGGATTATCACAGCTTTCCCCTCCCTGCTGAGTTCAGACCAAGCCGAGAAGAGGCTATCCTGAAAGTGACTTCTCTTAGAAGCAGAACTGGGAAACTTTCTACCAAGTCCATGTCTGGTGTCCTCTCCCAGGTGCTGAGCCTGGCTCTGCCCCCTACTCTCAGCGAGGGTATCTGTACTCCCCGGAGCCTAAACTCCTCTAAACTCCAGGCTAACAGTTTAGCCTCTCCTGCTAAGTCCCCTTGAGTTCATCAGGCTATTATTCCCAGTGTTTGGAACCTGGAATACATTTCCCATAACAATGATGTTCTAGGTAGTGTTTAGATTACCAGGTGAACCTACAGTGGTCTAAAGGAAAGAAGTAATCATCACAGCTACCATTAGCCCCTGCTTAGGTGCTCTGTGTACAGTCACTCTTCTTTCTCATATTTATGATAACCCTTTTAGCAGGCATGTGTTCCTACCCCATGGCACAGGAAACCAAAGCTCCCACCCAACTGATGTACTTACAAGTGACACAGCCAAGATTCCAGCACTTGTCTGTCAGCCCATGTCCACCCCTTCCCCTCTGCTGCCTTCACCCTTCCTTCCATACTTAAAGCCTTGGCAACTCTGTGTTTCTATTGTTTCGCAGTTTTCCCTTTAATTAGAGTGAATTGCCCTAACAAAAAAATATATATTCTTAGTGAAAAAATACATTCACATAGTTAAAAATGAAAAAAAAAAAGAAAAAGAAAAAGAAAAAGATTACAAAATTATATAGAGCGGGGGTTAACAAACATTTTCTATAAAAGACCAGGTAGTAAAAACTGGCAATTACTCAACTCTGCTGCTGTAGGGAAAAAGCCAGAGTTCTGGAAAGGAGTGGGTGGGTATAGCTGTGTTCAAATAACAGTTTACCTACAAATGCAGTGGGTGTAGGCAGCGTGGCCCACAGGCAGCTTGAAGGCCTTGGGAGAGCAAACAGTCGCCCGCTGACACCTTCCCATTGACCCAGTTCCCCAGCTCCACACCCTCACTGGAGATATCTGTTCCTCATTTTCTCTGTATTCTTCCGGGGGATATTTACGTGTATAGAGACAAGCAAGTACAGCTATTTCCTCCCTTTTTACACCAACGGTAGCATGTTATATACACTGTTCTTCTTGACTTTTGTACCGCATATATTTTAAGATCTTTCTGTATCGGTACATAAAAAGCTTCTTCAGTTTCATTTTTCACTGTGTAGCATTGCATTACGTGGCTATATCCTACTTTCTTGAATGGGTGCCCTCTTGATGGACACTTGGGTTCTTCCCAGTCTCTTGCCATGATAAACAGTGCTGCCAGGAATGACGATATGCATGTGTCCTTTTGAATTTCTTTAAGCATTTTTCCAAATTTCCCTCCGTAGGAGTCATACTGATTTCCATCCCGGCCAGCACTCTACAGGAGGACACATGCCCCGCCCCCCACTCTCCAACAGAGTGTCCTCAGACTTCGGGTCTTTGCTGAGGGGTAGGCGGATGGTATCTCAGGGTAGCTGTGATTTGCCTTTCTCTTATCATGAGTGAAGTTAAGCAACTGTTCGTGTGTTTAGAAGACATCTGTGTGGCTTTTTTCTGTGGACTATCCATATCTTTTGCTCCTTTCCCATTGAACTGTTGATCTTTTTCCAATCTATTTCTAACACTTCCTATATTAGTAAATTTAGCCCTTTGTCTCTTATGTGAGTGCTGTTTTTCCCCAACTTTGCCATTTGTCTTTGACCTTGCTTGTGGTATATTTGCATGCAGATTTTGCACATGTGTGTATCTGTACTTTTATGGCTTCAGGAAAGGCTTTCCCCACTTGAGGACGTCTCTTCTGTTTTTTCCTAGTACTTTAATAGTTTCATACATACATTTGAATTTTTGGTCCTTTTGGAATTAATTCTTTTGTATAATGTGAGAATGGATCCAACTTTATTTTCTTCAAGCCAGCTAACATAATTTATTGGCTAGTCCCTCTTTTTACCTTTATTATTTACTAAAGCCCCATAGATATTAAGGTCTATTTCTGGACTTCCTATTCTATACCTGCATCTGTACCAATACCATAGTTTCAATTATTGACATTTTATAATATGATTAAACAGCCAGTAGGGCCAGTTCCCTCTCCCTATTTACCATTTTGTGCCCAGAGTCTTCTGGCACTTCCGTTGTTTGTTTTTCATATGAACTTTAGAATTATCTTGCTTAGGTCCATAAATCATTAAGTGTTGGTATTGAAGTTGGGTCTTGGTATCTTTTCGTCCCGAGTCCCGTCAGCTGTCTTGAAACTGCCTTAGTCTCTTTCACTCCATGTCTGCCTCATCACTCTTCACGTGGTCTTTTTCCTTTCTCTGTCCTTCACAACCTGCCTGTTTTGCTCCAATCTCTTCATCCAACTGTTTATTCCGCACACACTTAAAAACGTCCACCCTGTGTCAGGCCTGCCTGGGCCCTGGGGATGCAGAGAGGAATAAGACACAGTCCCTTACCTCAGTCAGGAAGCAATGCTAGAACAGCCTAGTTAGGCTCCTCTCCTCAACCTGGGGTCATGTCAGGAGAGAAGGGGACACATACCTGTGATCTACGTGTCTGAGTACCTATCTTTCTGCCTCTCCTTCCCCTCACAAATACCACCTCCCCCAGCTTCGTTCTTCCTTCATTGACCATCACAGAGCACTGAAAGAGCCTTTTAAACAATTTTACATTCTTTAACAGAATTTTGTATTTCTGGTTCTTACTTTTAAAGGTAGGCAGCAGATAAATAATTTATTTTTGACTCAATTCTAAATTCTCAAGTTAGATTATTTATGTGAACTCCAGACTGCTTATTCAGGTGGCCTGATATATAGTGAGAAAACACTACTGTCAGGTGGACAGAGGAATCCCAGCTCAAACCGCTCGACACCAATCTGACCTCCAGCAATTTGAAGATTCTGAGCCTCATTTTCATATTCAGCAAAGAGAAATAACGCTATAACATACTTAGTGGAGTTTAACAGAGATTAGTGATTTTTATGTTTCCTGGGCCTCAGAGTAACCTCTGATGGCAACAAAGGGGAAGGAGAGGTTTGTGTGCTGAGTGGGCCTCCAGGGCTGAGTGCTCACTGGCAAATGGTGCTGGGTTCAAGTGAAAGTTTCTTTGCTAAAAACAAGGTTTTTGGAGACTTTTTTTAAGCTACTATTGAATGGCAAAGGGACTTGGGATTTGGGGTTTCAATTACATAATGGCAAAGGGACTGTTTCATTGTGCTAACCTAATTCTTCATTATGTCCTTCAGGCAGAGTTAACCCATTCAATTGTTACTGCTATCCATCGACCCCAGTGCTTGCTAAAACTGGGCCTGAGGGTGGGTGGTAATAGTGCCTGGAGTTCAGAATCAGAAGCTGCCCAGGCCTGGCAAATTTTTGGCTGAACAAAGGGGGCAGGGTAGGGGTGGGCCCTCGGCCCTGCTTTGGGCCCAAGAGCCTCACATTGCCTTCTTCTTGCAGCACGACTTCAGCCTGGAGAGGAGGGTGCTCTTCTGGGTGGAGGCTGTCATCCGGGGACCCTGCCCGGTCCAATGCGACGCCCTGGGAATGGCATCGGCCCCTCCGGCCTGGCTCTTGCTGGTCGGCTCAGAATCTGAGCCGGTGCCCGCACCAGCTGCAGACACCGGCCCGGAGGCCAGACCCCAGCTGCAGCTAGAACAGGAGGAGGAGAAAGAGGAGGAGGTCAAGGAAGAGGAGGAGGAGGAGGTGGAAGAGAACCAGGGGGAGGCCCACGTAGAGGAAGAAGCCGCCTCTGCCAACGAGGAAGAGCCAGGTCCCTGCAGCCCCCTGTCTAGCTCCCCTGCGAGCGCTGGCCCGGGCCATCCCCGGTGCTCGCTGGACTTGCTGCGCGGCGTGAAGTCGGAGCTGGCCGGGGCGCGGCGGCGGCTCTCGGAGGGCCGGCTGTCAGCTCGCCCCCGCGCCCTCCTGCACCGCATCCGCCACCGGGCGCTGAGCCTCTGCGCCAGTCCCGCGCCGAGTCCCGGCCCGGTGCTGCCCGCTGGCCCTGCGCCCACGCTCCCCAGCGCCCCCGCGCCGCCTCCGCGGCCCTCCACGGCTGGCGCCATGCCCCCGTTGCGGAGCCACAAGCCCACGGTCGCGGTAAGGAACCCCAGCTCAGCAGCAAGGCCCCCAGTAGTCTGGGGTCCCAGCCTGGTCCGCAGCCCTCGTTCCCTCCTCTCTGCTCTCCTTCCTGCCTTTACCTGTTCTCACCTAGCCCGGTACCATGCTGTCCTTCCTATGGCCCTTGGCCTAGACGAGTCCCTGCTCAGAAGCCCCCATTCCCTGTTTTCTGCTGTGTCTGTTTTCCTTCTGTTGGGACCCACGCCACAATAACTGTAATCATCCAGTAACTGTCTCTTCCCATGCAGTATGAATTTTTTTAGGGCAGGGATTGGAGGGCCTTCATTTTTGTTTCCAGGGCACCCAGCAGCAGGTTGGCCCCTAGGGGGTGCTCCGGGAATGTCCATTGAATGAATGAATGTGACTCAAATCTAAGGCTTCCCACCCAGTGAGGCTTCCTGTGGGATGGGTAAGCTGGAGGCTCAAATCAAAGGATACTCCCTGAGCAGTTACTTCCTGCTGCGTGAGGTATTGGAAGAGACATTGACTGAGGGAGAGTTGGCCAGGGAGAGGTGGGACAAGGCCGCACGGTGTAGTGGGAGGGATCAGGTGCTGAGGGAGAAGGGACAGTTTTTGTCGACTGGGAAGGCTTCGGGACAGAGGATGTGCTCCCAGAAGAACCAGGAGTAGAAGTGAATTTAAAGTGAAACCAGTGAAGTTTAAGCCTCAAACCCCTCACTTGGCCTCTTCCAAGGCTTTATATCTAATGTGATTTTTTTAAGAGGCCCAAATTATGTTAAGTACCAAACTCCATAAAGCCTGGATCTGGGCAGATAGTGGGTCAGGAATGAGAGCCAAAGGGCTCAATGGGACACAGCTTTCTGTCCCCTAGCTGCCCTACTGTTGGGCCGAGAGATGCAACAGAATAAGGCCCAGGTGAAATTTAAATCCAAAAGACAGACTAGAGGTCTGACTTTTCCCACTCGTGGGTGTGTGACCACTGAACTGCCCTGAGCCCTCCCTGGGCCACTTTACCACACACAATTACTTAGAGCAAACGCAGAGCGCAGGCTCTGTAAACTGGTCAGGCAGCGCCATATCAAGGGCCAGACGTTGAGGCCAGGATGGCTCTTTCCTGGTCCAGATTAAATGTAACTCTAGCAACAAACGTTCTTGTTCTGCAGAGGAGAAAACTGAGGCAGAGAACAGCTAAGAATCATTTTTAAGGTCACAAGAGTAGATTCAGATCCTAAGATTTGGATGTCTTCCAGTTTGGGGGTCAAAAGCAGACCCTAGGGAAAGCTCATGGCAGGAGAACCCCTGAAAAGTTAGGGATGGGTGGACAATTCATGTCAAACATATACGCTCTTCCCCAGGAGCCAGGGCAAGCAGCTGGGCTTTCCCTGGGGAGAAGGGGACAGGGCAGTCTGGTTAGGGTGGACAGGTGGGTGCTTCTTCATGGGGAATGGGTGAAGGGAGATGCTGGCCAAACCCACTGAAATGCCTTCGAGCCACCCTCCTTACTCTAGGGCCAGTGTGCCCAGTCCCTACCCTGCTCCACGCCCTGCCAAACCTCAGCCCAGCCAACCTGAAGAAGGAAGAAGATCCAGCCCTGCTTCCCCCTCACTAAGGTGTGGGGTAAAGAACCCTGAGTGTGATTCTGAGCAGGGCTCAGTTCCCAAATGTGTGTTGCTTCCCCAGTCATTAACTTCTCTGAACCTCAATTTCAATGTCTGTGAAATGGGATAATAGGGGCGGACCTATCATATTTCTCCTATGGGAGAATGTCCTGCTGTGCCAGGTATCATCTCCAGAGGCAACTGATACACCCAGCCTGTCTCTATTTCAGTCCCTCAGCCCCTACACCTGCCTGCCGCCTCTTGGCGGAGTGCCTCAGCATCTCAGCACCTGCAGATCACACCCCGCTTCTGCTGACCTGCTGTCTGCCCTGAGCCAGGAGGAGCAAGACCTCATCGCGCCCGTGGTTGCCCTGGGGTATCCCCTGCATAGGGCCATCACAGCTCTGCAGAAGACAGGGCGGCAGAGCCTGAGCCAGGTAGGTAAAGGAGAGCCCCTGAGCTGGGGGAGCTGTGGGTCCGGAGCCAGGTGTGTGGTCAAGTAGTTTTTATCTTTAACTTGAAAAAGTTTTGTTTCCTTCTCTTTAGAAGCAGAACCTTAGCCTGGCATTAATTGTTGAGGGTTATGAGCAAGTTTCTGGACCCTGATGCCATTTTCTCCATAAGGGTTTATCAGGAGTCCCCATGCCCATTTGGAGAGTTTTAATATTCTTCTCCTGTCCCAGTCTCTGCCCCAAGCACAGGGGGCTGAAGCTTTGGGCAGCCAGTAATCTCCCCAGAGATACCCAGTAGAACTTTCTGCAATGAGAGAGATGTTTTATACCTGGGTTGTCCAATACAGTAAACACTGGCCTTATGTGGCTACTTGAAATATGGCTAGTGTGACTAAGAAACTGAACTTTTTGTTTTACTTAATTGTAATTAATTTAAATTAAAATAGCCAGAAGTGGCTGCTGGCTACCATAGGGATGGCAGAGCTCTAACCACTACCCTCAATGAGCAGTTTATCCATATTCATATCCATCTCTTTCTCTTTTGATCTACCCATCCATCCACTCCATCTTGTCCACAGTGTTTACTGGGCAACTCCTAGGTGTTCAGATGGAGCTAGCAGCTATGGGGGGGGACCTCCTCTTGGTGGAAGGGGCTACAAAGAATTTATGGCCATCCTTAATCGAGCACAAGGAGGTTCCAGTGATCAGCAAAGGCTCACGGAGGTACCACATCTTGAGCTGGACTTTAAGGATGTATAAGCTCTGAATCTGAAGGAAGCAGAAGGGAGGATATTCCAAGCAGGAGGAACAGTTTGAGCAAAGGAGTGGAGGCAACGGGGCAGGGTTTTGGAGGCCCTGATCCAGCTGGTCTCTCTGGAGTACAGAGTGCATGATGCAGGCTGGTGAGAGACAGGACAGGGAAGGGGGTGGTGAGGGCAGATTGAGGGTGCTTTGAAGGCTGAGCTGAGAAGTTTATAAATGACCCACTAACAAAAGGGAGGCATGGAAGGATTATGAGTAGGGGCAGGAGGTGACATGGAACACCACTGCCTGATCCCCCCTTCTCCCACCTGAAGGTCACATCTTGCTTCCCATTGTTTTCTGCACATGGGAACTCTTTCGGTTGGAAAGCTGAGCTGCAGATATCAAAAGGTCCCAGGGCAGTTGGCACTTCTTCCTTTCTTCTATCTCTGCTCCATCACCATCAGAGGGTTTGGATACTCTCTCCGTAATGTCTGACGGCTGTCATATGTTGGGTCCCTGAGGTCCAGAGCTGCCTGCTCCTGGATAAGGGAGGGATAGAAGGAGAGTGACTCTCAGACCGGAGCTGAAGCAGGACGTGGTGCTGCCAGGCTGAGGAGGTGGGTGAATGCACGTGGCCACCTTCCCGACCCACCCCTGCTTCTGTTCTCCTCTGGCTTCATCAGTCCATGCCTTGTCCTGGAGGAAAACTTCCAACATGGCTGCTGACATTCATCCAACACCTTCTTTGTGCCAGGCCCTCAATCTGAGAATATTTGATTATGTCTTCTCAGTTCTGCAAGGTTGCTACTACTGTCCCTCCCCACTTTGCAGATGAGGAAACTGAGGCCAGGGAGGTTCATATAAGCGATCAGTGGAAGAGCCGGGGTTGAGGCCAGGCTGGTTTGACTCTGAATCTTTGTTGCCTGGTACTTTCCTCTCATTTACTGGGCAAGAACCTTCCAGGGAAGCACCGAAGACTGATCTGAGATTTAAGAGTAGATCTAAGATTGTCCCCACCTTCAGCCACTGCTGAAAGCTAGGACCTGAGCCAAGAAGCTAGCCAGGAGGACTGTGAGGAACCATGGCCATGGTGGGGGCTCTGATGTGCCGCCCAGTCCCTTTAGCTCCTGTGACAAGGCTGAGGCCTCAGGCCATCACTGTGGGGGTCTGGGGATGAGTTGGAGCAGCACGAGGCACTGGCCTCCCCATGGGTGGGCTGGAAGAATCCCATTGCATCAGGAACATTGTGTTTCCAGATAAGCACTGACCACCTGCCTAGCCAGCCGGATCTCTGGGTGGCCTTCTTCCGTGGTTGTCAGTCAGGAGCCAAGCCCTAAGGTGTGGGCCTGAAGGGCCACTGGATGGACTCCATCTGTCCTCCCCCACCAAGTGATTATTTCCCTCTATTCTGTGAAGTCCCACCATTAACTGAACAACTCCTTGGGTTCAGAGTCCTTCCCCCCTTAAAGGATATATACTATAATAAACCTTTTTGGCCAGAAATTATTGACAGATGGCCCAGGAAGGCGAGCATCAGGTGACAGAGACAGAGCAGTTAGAAGAGCCAGGGAGAAAGGAGGAGATATAAAAGATAAGCTTTGTCCATTGTTCCTTCCTTCCTTCCACAAGGACTGATGTGCCCACTGGCTGCCTAAAGGACAACATGGGTGGCATGTGTGAGCATCCACAGGCCAGGCCCAGACTTGGTATGGGACTCCAGGCACTTCAGGGTGCTTCCTCTCTTTACAGAATGGAGGGGAGGACACACATTTATAATCAATGAGTCCTGAGGCCCCCATTCTGGGGTGTGAAGGTGACATCCTGGGGCCTGAGGCAGATCTGGTGGCTTCTACAGTCTCATAGGCCCAAAAGCTGACCAAGCAGCAGAATGTCTATAACTGTGGATCCCTAGGACCTATTCTGGAGAATCCCAGTCAGCAGATCTGGAGTGTGCCGAAAGGCCTATTGTGTAAGGATCTGAAGGTGGTTCTGATATCCAGCCTACACGGGGTCTACTGGTATGGGTTGAGGTCAGCTGTCCCTTGAGTCAGTGGTTCTCAGCTATGGCTGCACAGAATTACCTGGGGAGCCACACAGATCCCAATGCACAGACTGCCTCCCAGACCAATTATATCTGAGCTTCTGGAGACAACCATCCGAGGCTTATGGGTAGTGATGTTAGAGCTCCCAGGTAGCTGCAGTCAGCACCAAGGCCAAGAACCGTTGCTGTGTTTGAACCAAGAGACCAAGGAGCAGCCACCATCCACGCTTGATTTGCTCTTCTTTTCACCTTTGGAAATCCTGTTCACTTTCTTTTTTTTTTTTTTTAAGATTTTATTTATTTGACAGAGAGAGATCACAAGTAGGCAGAGAGGCAGGCAGAGAGAGAGAGGGGAGGAAGCAGGCTCCCTGCGGAGCAGAGAGCCCGACACGGTGCTCGATCCCAGGACCCTGGGATCATGACCTGAGCTGAAGGCAGAGGCTTTAACCCACTGAGCCACCCAGGCGCCCCTCCTGTTCACTTTCAAGGCAGCTCAGAAAACTTCCTCTAGCACTGGGTCCCTGACGGACAAAGCCAAGAGGTCAGGTGATCTAGGTCTTAGTCCTGGGTCCCTGGGCAACCTTCCCACCCTGCTTGGACCTGTTTCTTGCACTGAACAAGGGGAGCTTGGCTGGATGGTTTACAAAACATGCTCAGAGCACGGTCCAGGCATCCTGAGGCGGGAGCACCAGACTCCTGGCTCCCTTGCTCCTGTGCCCAGTTCTCCAAGAGCAGCTCGATCTTCTCATTATTGTTGACGTCTCCTGATGCTTGGACAGCTTAGAAGCTAAAGCAGTTAGAAAGCACTCGTCTGTATGATCCACCTCTGAAGGTCTGCAGAAACCTCCCTGTTCTTCTCCACCTATACCCATAATTCTTATGGCCTGGAACCTTCCTCTGGCATTGGCTTTCTATAAGTGTTGCTTTGATTTGCCTGGCACTCAAGATTTCCTCTATCTGACTCACCCCCCTCCCCCGCCCCCCCAAGCAGTGAGCTCCTTGAAGGTAGTTCTTAATTCATCTTAGAAACATGGCATACATTTATTGAGGTCCTTCTGCCTGCCATGCTGGGTGCTGGGGACACGTGGTGATCAAGACTGAAACAACCCTTCCCTCGCTGAGAGAGAGAGGAGAATAACGAGTTGGACACGCTGTGATGGGGGAGGCACAGGGCTATGGGAGCAGCAGGTAAGGCCCCCAGTGGAGACCAGGGCAGGGGCTCCCAGGGAAGAGGGCTGAGGCTGGCCTTGACCAAGGGAGTGAGATGTGCAGAGGCCTGGGGCTGCTGAGAGGGGAGCTGAGGCCGCTGACAGGGGCAGAGGGGCAGGCCTTTGGGCTCTGGTGAAGAGGCAGTACTTCATCCTGAGGGCAAAAGCAGCTCCTGGTGACTAAGCACAGAGTGACCTGAATGGGTTTCCCAGCCCTGTGGTATTTCCCCTGTCCTCCTCCCCTTTCTGGCACCAGAGTTCATGTGGGCCTGGATAGCAGACATGTATGTGTCTAGGGATGGGGTAGGGCTGCCCAGGTGTGGATGCTGAAGAGGCTGCTTCACACAGGTGGGTACTCACTAGGGAGGGTGAACAGACTAGGACGGGTGGTGGGTGAGGCGCCCACGCTTCCGGCCAGTCCCACTCCCCACTTAGGGTCTGGGAATGCTTATCTCACCCTGACAGCCCTTTTCCTAGATTAGAGCCCCTGGTTGGGGACCATTGGTTAAGAACTTGCTGTCCGCCCACCCCGGGTCTCCAGGGGAGACCTCTGTCCCTCTTCTGTTGGCTCACAGGGTCTCTGGGGCCATTTAGTGAGTGTGTTGTCAGCCTGGTCTGAGCTCAGGCCTGGCTGAGGTTGCCGGTGTGCTTTCTCTATCCCATCCTCTGTCCCTGCCACTGCTCTGACTGCACCACTCCCTGCCCCCGCCCACAGTTTCTCAGCTACCTCAGTGCCTGTGACCGGCTGCTGCGGCAAGGCTATGAGGAGGGGCTAGTGGAGGAGGCCATGGAGATGTTCCAGTTCTCCGAGAGCCAGGTCAGCAGGGCCACTTGCCCAGGCCTGGGGTAGGGGGAGGAGACGGGCAGGGGTCCACACATAAGCCTAGTGTTCAGGCGCACACTTATGCTAGAGCCAGAGCCTTGGGGCCATCAGGAGACAGCCTGCTTCTGAGCCCTGGGGAAGAGGAGACAGCCCGCTTCTGAGCCCTGGGGAAGAGGAGACAGCCCAGGGAGGTGAAGCGTGGGGAAGGGGAGAAGATGGGATGGGGAGGGAAGCAGGTGGCAAGACTTTCACATTATTTAGCCAAGTGAACACACAAATATTATTGAATGCCCACTCTGTCAGACACCTAGAGAGGGGCCACATACAGCACAAAGATGCATAAATTCTGCTCGGGCAGTTTGCTGGCTATCTGGAAACCCAGAAGGCAGGCAGCTGTGGGCTCAGTGGTATATTCTGAGTGTCCAGCGGACATGACCTGTCCTCAGGGTGCTGTTGGCTGTGGCTCTGCTGAGAGCTTCTCCACAGAGGCCGAGGCAAGGACAGAGGGCTGCAGGGGATGCCCAGGGGGAGGGAGGAAGGGAGGAGAAACAGGCACTTCTCAGGTACTGGGGCCAGAGGAGGAAGGAAGGCAGAGGCTGCATGGTGTGAAACTTTGGCAGGGTTTGGGGCTTGGGTAGAGACCCCAGGCTGTGCTTCCTCTGGGCACCAGTATGCAGCCTCCTGTTTTTCTGCCCCAGTCTCCAAGCATAGGGAGTCAGGAATGAGCTGGAGTGGAGGAGTAAAGCCAGGATGGAGCCAGTTGTCAGGCCAGAACCTCCTTCCTTGGCACAGGAAGGAAGGTCCAGGTCCATGTCACCCCAAGGTATAGGAAGAAAAAGCAGGTGTTGCCCAGGACCAGGCTTACCTGGCTTGGGGAGTCCATAGCTTTGTGGGAGTAGATACAGTAGGTACCAGGAAGAAGGCTCCACAGGAGGTGACTGGCCTGGCAGTGTCCCCAGCACTCTCTCTTCTTCCCTTTCCTCAGGCCGGGGAGTTCCTGCGCCTCTGGGAACAATTCAGTGCCATGGGCTTCCAGCAGGACCGGATCAAGGAAGTGCTGCTGGTCCACGGCAACCGCAGTGAGCAAGCGCTGGAGGAGCTGGTGGCCTGTGCCCAATGAGCACTGGCGCATTCCACAATGCCTGTGCATCCCAGTCCTGGGCCAGACCTGGCAATCCATAGTAACGGGATTAGTAAGACTACATAAGAGGGGAACCTGGCTGGCCAAGTTGGAGGAGTATGTGGCTCTTGATCTCAGGTTTGTGAATTTGAGCCCCACATTGGGTGTTGAGATTACTTTAAAAAAATACACAAATGGGGCACCTGGGTGGCTCAGTGGGTTAAGCCTCTGCCTTCAGCTCAGGTCATGATCCCAGGGTTCTGGGATCAAGCCCCTCATTGGGCTCTCTGCTCAGCAGGGAGCCTGCTTCTCCCTCTCTCTCTGCCTGCCTCTCTGCCTACTTGTGATCTCTGTCAAATAGATAAATAAAATCTTTAAAAAAATTTTTTTAAAAATACATAAACAAACTTTAAAAAAAAAGGATCACACAAGAGTGACGCACGCTCATACAAACAATGCCAAAGGTGGAGGTAAATACTGTAGGGGAGGCCAGATTTACCCATTGTAGGTTTTCAGCTGGGGCTCCTCATGGAAAAGACCAATTAAGAAGAGAAAAACATTTTATTTTTTTAGGATTTTATTTTATTTATTTGACAGAGAGAGACACAGTGAGAGAGGGAAAAACAAGCAAGGGGTGAGGGAGAAGCAGGCTTCCCGCTGAACAGGGAGACTGATGTGGGGCTCGATCCCAGGACACGGGGATCATGACCTGAGCAGAAGGCAGATGCTTAATGACTGAGCCACCCAGGTGCCCTGAGAAAAAGAGCTTATTAACACATGTGGCATTTCTACATCATGTAGGGGAAACCTCAATCAGAAGTAACTCAGAGCAGCAGTTAGAACTCTGGCTTGTATAGCATCTTCAATAAAGAACAGTCAATTTGTATAGAAATGACAGGACAAAGGAAACTGGTTTTGAGGTTCCAGAGATGGAAGCTGTTGGGGGAGGGCGGTGTAAATACAAGGAAGTGAACCAGCTGAGTAGGTTTGTTGGCAGATTCCTCTGGAGCATGTCTGGGCTGATAAGAATCTGTCTCCAGAAAAGGAGAGTTGATACCTTGCCTTTAGGCAAAATGTGGGGGAGGGTAGAAGGAGATTTTTTTCCTGCATTTGTTGCTTCTTAATCACCTTCAACTCAAAATGATTTTTATGTCAAAGAGGCATATTTTTGGGTAACATTCTGGTCTCTTTCAATATGAAAACAATTAGCTGAAAGAGTTGAAAGTCATTGCCTCTGGGGAGGGGCGTATGGGGGAGCATAGACAAGGAACTGTGTTTTTTCATAAAACCCTTGTAAAACTACCTGTATTTGACTCTTTTTATTTTTTTTAAAGATTTTGTTTATTTATTTGACAGAGAGAGAGAGAGAAAGATCGAGATCACAAGTAGGCAGAGAGGTGGGGGAGGGGTAGCAGGCTCCCTGCTGAGCAGAGAGCCCAATGCGGGCTCAATCCCAGGACTGTAGGACCCTGAGATAATGACCTGAGATAATGACCTGAGCCGAAGGCAGAGGCCTAACCCACTGAGCTACCCACGTGCCCCATGTATTTGACTCTTTAAACTATAGGCATGAATACCTTTGATTTTAAGAATATTAAAATAAGTGGTGGGCCATTCTTTTCAGTCCTGTGGGCTCATAGTTAGTGTGGAAAGAACATCTAACTGTGGTTCAGAAGACCTAATTTCTTATTTTGTTTCTGCTGCTGACTGGCTCAAGGCCTCTTTGGGACTCAGTTTCCCTGGGAAAAGTGGAGAGACTGGACTTGGCTGCCATCGATAAGAATCCCCTGAGAGTTTGTTAAAGAGGCCCAGGCCCTCTTCCGGGGTGATCGGATTTAGAAAGTCCAGCTTGGCAGCCCCAGGGATCTATTTTGTTTTTATAAGGAGCTCTCCGGGGATTAAAAAAAAAAAATCTTGGGGCACCTGGGTGGCTCAGTGGGTTAAGCCTCTGCCTTCAGCTCAGGTCATGATCTCAGGGTCCTGGGATCGAGTCCTGCATCGGGCTCTCTGCTCTGCAGGGAGCCTGCTTCCTCTTCTCTCTCTCTCTGCTTGCCTCTCTGCCCACTTGTGATCTCTCTCTGTCAAATAAATAATTAAAAAAAAAAATCTCTTGTTGTTTTTTAACTGGTTTTGTTGTTGTTCACCTCCACCCATTTCTCTCAACCACTAATCTGGTGTCTGCTATCTATCAACTTGGGTTTTTGGCTTTTTTGTTTTTTTCAGATTCCACATTTAAGAAAAATCATATGGTATTTGTCTTTCTCTGTCTGACTTATTTCACTTAGCATAACACCCTTGAGGTCCATCCATGTTGTCTCAAATGGCAAAATTTCATTCCTTTTATGGCAGGATAATATTCCATTGCATACATAAACCACGGTTTCTTTATTGATTCATCCATCTGTCGACATTTAGGTTGTTTCCATGTCTTGGCTATTGTAGATAATGCTGCAGTGAACTTGGGGGAGCATCTATTATTCTGAGTGAGTGTTTTTGTTTTCTTTTAAATAAACACCCAGAGTGGAATTGCTAATCATCTGGTAAGTCTATTTTTAATTGTTTGAGGATCCTCCCTATGGTTTTCCACAGTGGCTGCACCAATTTACATTCCCACCAACAGTGCACAAGGATTTTTCTCCATATCCTCACCAATACTTGTTATCTCTTGTCTTTTTGATGATAGCCATTCTGACAGGTGGAGGTCATATTCCTTGTGGTTTTTTTTTTTTTTAAAGATTTTATTTATTTATTTATTTGACAGAGGAGAGAGATCACAAGTAGGCAGAGCAGCAGGCAGAGAGAGAGAGGAGGAAGCAGGCTCCCTGCCGAGCAGAGAGCCCGATATGGGGCTCGATCCCAGAACCCTGAGATCATGACCTGGGCCGAAGGCAGAGGCTTAACCCACTGAGCCACCCAGGCGCCCCTTCCTTGTGGTTTTGATTTGCATTTCCCTGAGGAGTAATGCTCTCCAGCGTATTTTCATGTACCTGTTGCCTATCTATATGTCTTCTTTGAAAAAATGTCTATTCAGGGCACCTGGGTGGCTCAGTCGATTAAGCCTCTGACTTCAGTTCAGGTCGTGATCTTGGGGTCCTGAAATGGAGTCCTGCGTAGGGCTCCCAGCTTGGCAGGGAGTCTGCTTGTCCCCTCCTTCTGCCCTTCCCCCCACCTGTGTGCACATGCACACACACTCTCAAATAAATAAAATAAAATCTTAAAAAAGAAAGAAAGAAAAAAGAAAAGTGTCTATTAATCTGTTGTTGGGTTACATGAGTTCCTTATATATTTTGGATATTAGCCCCTTATCAGATATATGATTCACAAATATTTCTCCCATTCAGTAGTTGCCTTTTCATTTTGTTGATGGTTTCTTTTGTTATGAAGAATCTTCTTATTTTCCACTTGTTTTTTTGTTTTGTTTTGCTTTTGTTGCTTTTGCTTTTGGTGTCAGATTCAAAAAATCATCACCAAGACCTATGTCAAGGAGCCCACCATCTATTTTGTCTTCTAGGAGGCTTCAGGTCTTCCATTCTAGCGTTCAACCCATTTTCAGTTAATGTTTGTGTATGCTGTAAGACGGCAGATGAGTTTCATTCTTCTGTATGTGGCAGTCCCGTTTTCCTAACACCATTTATTAAAGAGACTGTCCTTTCCCCATTGTATATTCTTGGCTCCTTTGTTATAAATTAATTGACTATATATGCGTGGGTTTATTTCTGGGCTCTCTCTTCTGTTCAGTTGATCTGTGTGTCTTTTTATGCCAGTACCTCTGGGGATTCTTTTTTTTTTTTTTTAAAGATTTTATTTATTTTTTGTGAGAGAGAAAGTATGCACATGAGCAGGGCTGGTAGGGGGGGAAGATTAGGAGGAAGGGATAGAGGGAGAAGGAGACTCCTCACTGAATAGGGAACCCAATGTGGAGCTCCATCCCAGGACCCTGTGATCGTAACTCCCAGCCAAAGGCTGATGCTTAACTGACTGAGCCACCCAGGCGCCCCATCTTCTGGAGATTCTTATTCAGTATATTGGGCCCATGGCCAGTATGTGTAACCCTCAGGGCCTCCGGCTCTGACAGCCTGTCAGTCTTCCCTCATTTGTGGAGCAGGCAGTTTGGAACCAGAATTGTCTCCAGTCGCTGTAAGCCTGTCCTCTGGAGAACCCCAGAGATTGAGGAGACCAGTTGCTGGAGCTGCCCATGATTCAGGCAAGCAGAGGCCAGAACCAAGACACCAGTGCCCTTGCCCTTCCCAGCTGGGCCTATGCAAAGACCTAGAGAGTTACCACAGAATCAAGACTGCTCAACCTTATCTACCCAGCGAGCAGGACTGGACCTGGATCTGAGGCCTGGAGAAGACCAAAATCTTCCATGTTTTTCATGGCTTCAAACCAGACATGTTGCTTGAATGTTTAGTGAGGACTTCTGCAGGCCTATCCTGACCTAAACAGCAAGTTTGGGACCAGAACATAGGACTCCTCAGGTCTGTCCAGCCCCTGGGTGCCTTTCACTAAGCTTCGTTGTCTGCCAACTTGAAATCACATAAAAAATATGCTTTGGCCCTAAAACTTGCTTTGAGTAACTTGCAGGCAATGCAAAACTATTTGAGAACATTGGCAAGGCGGCATAAAGTCGGTCAAAAATAAAACTGCATTTGAAAAAGAATAAAATTCAAGTTCAGTTTCTTTTTTTTTTTCTTTTTTTTTTTTTTTAAAGATTTTATTTATTTATTTGACAGAGAGAGATCACAAGTAGACGGAGAGGCAGGCAGAGAGAGAGAGAGAGAGAGAGAGAGAGGGAAGCAGGCTCCCTGCTGAGCAGAGAGCCCGATATGGGACTCGATCCCAGGACCCTGAGATCATGACCTGAGCCGAACGCAGCGGCTTAACCCACTGAGCCACCCAGGCGCCCCTCAAGTTCAGTTTCTAAAAAGCAACATTAAATCCTAAGCTCTGTGTGTTTTGATTAAGGTAGTCTGGCCTTGGTCAGCCACTTGATTAAGTCCCCTTGATCAGAGGCGACCAGCTGGCAGGCTTCTTCCCCATGCGGCTCTTCCCACTCCTCTCCCACCTGCGCCTAACTTCCCATTCCTAGGAAACTACTGCTTGATTTAAAATGGGGCATCAATGGACACGCTGTAAATTTAAAATGTTTTTAGGTCGTAGAACAGTGTGGTAGTTAAAGGCCCAGG